ATTTCTTTGTTTCTTTTATTTATTGTTTACATTCTTATTTACAGGCTGCATACTAGAATCCTTGAATGTCATTATATTTTAAGTAATAGTAATTACATATATATAAAATATGTATCCTGAATATTATTACTTATATCAAAATAATTAGTACTAATATTTCTACAATATCTATCTATCTATCTATCTATCTATCTATCTATCTTCGATCTCACTTGCTTGCAACCATTAATACCTAAAAAGCCAGCTTACTCTTCTTTAAAAAATGCTATGCAAGGATTTGCTGACACTATGCACCTTTGACCAGTTAATTAGAAGTGTTTATTAGAAAAGAGAAATCTCTACATAAAGGACAAGCATAGGATTTCATTATTGACTTTTAGACACAACAGTATTGGTATATTTTCACGTTAAGAAGCAATACTGTCCGGATTCAGCATTTTTGTTTATCAGAGAAACTGCTCAACTTCATGAGTCAACAACTGTAAATAGCTGTAACTTTTTTGTAAGTTTATTTCACACTTTATAAATGAACTTGAAACATTCACTTACAAGAACCTTCACATTCTCTGTGGTCAAAAGTCAGAAGTAGTCATAGATTTCTGTAATATGCATAGGAATCATCCCGTACAGGATGAGAGAACCATGCAATTTGCTAGTTGACCATTTTGATTAGTCACTAATGTATTAATTAATTATTTATTGTACCCAAGCAGGAAGTTAAGTCTTACTTCTGCATATCATCATGATCAAAAAGCTCATAAAATGGTAAAGATGATACTGGCTCTCAATGAAGTAAAACTCAGTACAGTAAAAATGTTTATTACAATTTTATTAAAATAAAAAAAATTCAATAATACAATAGAAGTAGCTAATTGTACAATAGAACTGGTTGAGATTCAGGCCTTATCCAATCAATATCCAGCTTTGTCAATGAAAATCCATATAATTGAATATTGTTCCTCTTTCATTCTCTGACATACACAGGCATCTCATAATGCATCCTCAAAGGATTCAGTACAGGATATGCACATCTTTCCTCTAAAAACTGTACATTGTATGCCTCTTTTAACTGTTTCCCACTATAATCCTTTTAAATATACTCTTTCACCTTTTTCATAGACCAAGTATAAGATTGTAGACCTCTTCCAAGATTAGGTAGGGTATGTAAAACCTCCAATGAGAGGTAACCATTTTTGTGAGCAGTAAAAGTAATCTACTGAGGCATACTTATGTTAGTAACCACTGTAGTGGGTGGCACTGGGCTGTCCTTGGAATTGCATTGGTTTTAACTGCATTCGTCTAATTGACAAGTTATATGTGTATCAATGTATTGTATTCGTCTGATTGTTCGGTAGAATCATTCTAACAAATAAGGGAATGAAACTACCGAACAGTCAGACCTCCCCGGTGTGAAGTGTGCCTTCAATTATCCGTTGCAACATTGTTGCGAACGGGTAATTGACAAGCTGTGCAGTAGTCCTTTATTCTCGGGGGTGGCCGCCATTCGGGAAACGAACACGTGGCGGCGGACATTTTAAAACTCCCGAACAGCTGTGTTTTGCCGTCGAGTGTCTGGAACTCAAATCGGACACTCGACTAGGCGAACACCGCTGAGACCTCCACAAGCCCGGTCCATTCGGTTCCAAACTACCGAACGGCCCCTCGTTCGGTAGACAGAAACAACCGAACAAGGGGATTCCGGCGAACCCTCCCTAGTCTCTGTAACTGGAGGCTTTCGTATAATTTATTCCCTTGTTCCAGGACCGACCACAGAGCCCCATCGCATGGAACCCAATTCGGCTATTCTTTCCAGCGCGGTCGGTCATTTTATTCCCTCAATAAATTTCCCGAACCCCTGGTCCAATCTGGGTGATTTTTGGATATGTTGTTCACCCAGATCAGGGCTACCAGGGGATGTATAATTTAAAGCTGTACCCCTAGGTTTAGGGGTACATCCAGAAATGGGGGGAAATTGGTGTCCTTGATAAGGGGATTATGATGCAGGCTGAGGGGAGGAGATGTGTGGGAGGTTACCAGAACAGGATTGGCTACTGTACTAATGACTGTAAATCCCTCCCTTGCATGGGAGCATGCTTTATAAGGCCACTGTCTGAATAAATCTTGAGTTCTGCTCCTGATACTGTGTGTCGTCCAGTTATTGGGAGTGCTATTGGGATACTGCTGTATTGTTTTACCTGCTGGATACCTTGCCTATGGATTTATAATTACTTGTTCCTGAGCCTCACTGGGATCTACAAGTGGAGGTAGGCTATAAAATACTAGCTCTCTGCTACAACCACCAAACAAGTTCACATTTTACTTGAATAGGAATTTTCTACATGTAATCAGTCTATGATATTTTCTGGGCATGTATGGAATACTAATGTTGTTTCCTGTATAAAGATTCTCTGCACTTGTGTAATTATTGTCAAGTCTACATTTGTGCTAATCACTAAAGGACTTTACCTTGCCTATTAGTTGTATAATAAGTTAACATTATCTATAACATAGTTGTCATATTGTCCATTCTCACCTACAGGATATCTCAAAGCTACACTTTAGAATGGACTGCCTCACCCTTTCCTTAGTCTACAGTCTTGTACGACATCCCGTAAAACATATCTCTTTAGGAAAGGTTATCATCTTGCCATGCAATGTCTCTACAACAGTCTTCCCATGTGACCATGGTCTGCTTCAATCTCTCACCTACCACGCTACATTTTGCCACACATCAGTTTTACAAATTTTACTATACACGTGCACAGAGGAGTAACTAGAAACCACCGGACCACAGTGCAAAAAAATTCCCTGTGTCCCATCCCCCCATCCCCTCCATGTGCCTCATTCCTCCCAGCCTCTCCATGTGTCTCATTCTCTCACCCCCAGCTCCTACATGTGTCTCATTCTCCCAACCTCTCCCTGTGTCTCATTCCCTCCTCTCAGCCCCTCTATGTGTCTCATTCCCTCCCCCCAGCCCATCCATGTGTCTCATCTGCCCACACCTCCTTGTGTCTCATCCTCCAACCCTCCTTGTGTCTAATCCCCCTCATCCCTTCTAGTGTCTCATCCACCCACTTATCTATGTGTCTCATTCCCCCCAGCCCCTCCATGTGTCTCATTCCCTCCCCCTCAGCCCCTCCAAGTTTCTGATTTTCCCCCACTCCTCCAAAAGTCTCATTCTCTCCAGCCCCTCCGTTTGTTTCATTCCCTCCCCTTGGCCCCTCTGTGTGTCTCCCCTCATGTACCTGGTCACGGCTGTACCTGGTCTGATAGGAAGTGCTCTCATTGAGCACTTCCTGTCAGACTGCAGTATGCTCGGCCATGCCACACACAGCGGTAGGAGGGGAGCAGTACAACATTCACTGATCACCCATAAACTGCATGACCTGAGCCGGTGTGGCCATGCTCTGGAGTTATGCTTGCCCACAGCCTCAAGAGGATGGCTGGGCAGAGGTCACAGCTGGTAATTACACCACTGCACAAGCAACATATCTGTCAAGCTCTCCTCTCGACTAGTGACATTAATTCTCTTGGTTTTCTTTACCTGAATTTCTCCAAAATGATAACCTCATTTGTATAAGGCCTTTTTATACCTCTTGTATTTGTAAAAGTAACAATTACTTTGATAAATTGTTTTTTGTATATCACCAATGTATAATTGGAACGTGCGTGGAAAAGTTGGTACTTCCTAAATGCTAATAATATAGTTAAGAATGTTTGCAGTTGTGTGAATAGTTGATTGTAAATCTGTTTTACACTGGTTTCTTTTCATGTAGCCTCCTGTTTCCATTCTGTATTAGAGTAGCAAAAATTATTGATTTAGATATATTTTTCTCCTTCTAAATATGCAGGGTGGGTTAGGCATTTTTATAAAAATATATTAAAAATATTAATTAGTTTAAAAAAATTAAAAGACACGCTAATCTTAATGAAGTGAGTTTGCTGCATAGTCTAACCAAAAATATTCCTTTACAGAGAATGTATGTTATTTCAAAAAGTACTTCACATATAAAAATAGAAGCTCTACACACTAGTACGGGATACCTTCTTCCCAACACACCACAGTAATTATACACCTTAGAATGGTACAAAATATACTTGTACCTATACTGGAGTACTTAAATGTTAAAATAAGGGGAATAACCTACCCCACGTATGTATTAAAATGCACAGAAAATAGTTGAGTACATAAAGAGCAAAAAAATGAAAATACAAAATACAGCACAGGTGGTAATTATATTACAACAATGTATCTATAGAAAGCCAGGTCTCTCACATGTGATGGGCCCTAAGTTTATTGGCTCTGTATATAAGTCTGTTATGATCTTAGGGCAGCATTACACCACTCCTTCATAGAGACGTACCCTCTGCTAAAAAGAGAGAGACCAGCAGTGTGTAGTATTAAAAAAAAAAATCAATAAATATATCAGGTAAGTATTGAGCTCACCTTATTTAGAGCCTAAACTCCAAGCTCCAGTGTTTCATACTGTAGTCACTTTCCTTGGAAAATGTTAAACATTGCCATTTCCCGAGAAATCACAGTGTTCGCATTTGACTGAAAACACATCTCTAGTGGTCATAAGCAGGGCTGGCCCAACCATTGGTCCCAGTGGGACCATGGATCCATGCAGCACTTTGACAGGGGTGGCATTATGCTGCCCCTGTCCCTTTACAAATATGTTGTGCTGCCCATTTATATTTATATATCGAGTAATGCTATCTATATGTATATGCTATATCCTATGAAGAGGGGGCCCCAGAGATCTGATTCTTCATCTCCTGCAGCATTCAGTCCTTCCCTCTGCCGAGCCACGAGAGCATTACCATGGCAACCCGCGTCAATACTCTCACGGCTTGCGAGATCAAAGTACCTGATGGAGGAGATGGAGAATCCCATACCCCAGACACCGAGAGGTCCCCCTCATGGCTCCCATATGGGCCTGATGGACGATTTAATCTCGAATCAAGCCGGGACCTCACAGGAGGAACAGGGCCTCAAAATGGCACCCTCGCCTCCATCGTCCTCACACTCCACGGCGGACTCCACCACCTTAGCAGATATTGGTGCTGAGCTTCACTCCATGGCTGCACAGACAGTCACCAATCAGGACATGGCAACTGTCTTTGCCACCCTGCATGAGGCGATTCATGCTGAAGTCACTGCACTGAAGGCTGAGGTCTATGCCCATGACTTCAGGCTCCTCTCTCAGGAGACCTGCACACAAGCTCTGACGGACGAAGCACACGTGACTAATAATGCTATCACGTGGCAAGGCTCCATGCTCCTGGCCTTGAGACGCCAGCTGGAGGAACTGGTTAATCGCAGCTGCAGGAGCAATATAAGGGTACACTGGGTGCAGGAAACCCAGGGACTGGAGAATGCAGAGGAAGTTCTCTCCTCCCTCTTCTGCCTCATACTGATCAGCCTTCCACTATCAGGTTTGAGCAGGCACACCAAACTGCAAGGCCCTGAATACGAAACAGACCTCCACGCAGCTTTATTTGCTGTCTCCACTTGTATCAAGTGAAAGAGAAGATCATGTCTAAATCATGGGAACACCAAACGTGGAGCTTTAGGGGAGCCGAAGTTACCTTGCATAATGATCTCTCACCCCTGACCCTTGAAGCACGTTGAGCACTTAGACCCCTCATGCAGGAACTCCGCACTCGGAATATACCCTAGTGTGCCTCATGGTCAGACACCACAACACCTGGCTATCAATAAGGGGGCCTGAAGAAGTTCTGCAATTCCTGTAGCAGTTGGATATTCCACCCATGCCTATCCAGAACTGGATCCTGTGACCGGTGTAGCCGGACCAACCTACTAAACCAACAACTAACTAAAATCAAACTTCCATTTAAATGGTGTGACACCAAGATGAAATATTGGGGGATTTATGTATCTATTGACTTGGCCAACCTTTATCACTGGAACTTTGTACCACTCCTCTGGCAAATTCAAATGGATCTCAAACATCGGAAATCCTCTACACTCTCTTGACATCGCAGTTGTCAAGATGAATATCCTGGCCAGATTAGTTTACTTGTATCAGACGGTGCCGATAGCTCTCCCGACAACATTCTTCTCCATACTGCGCTCTTCCATACGCAATATGCATGGGGGGGCGAGAGACCCTGGCTGAGATATGACCTTCTATGCCTACTGCGTTCATGGGGTGGCCTTGCCCTACCCGACCTCTTTGAGTCACAGACAATGGGTATCTTTAGAGAGAGGGGCAGCTGGCTCAGCCTTACATGCAGCGGTGTGGAGCCCTGGTGCCCACAGCACTACTGAGGTGGAGAGACACTCTGCAATGGCTCACACTCTTTGGACATGGAAGCAGATCCAGGATGTCCCAAACTTATCACTGAAACTGAGCCCTCTTATCCCTCTGACGTACAATCCACTCATAGGAGATGGATTTCCAAGGGGTGCGTGTCCCTACATGGGAGGTGCGGCATACATTCTGCTACAAAAGGCCTTGAGGAATTCAGGACTGTTGGCCTTGGAGGTAGTCATGGAGGGTGCAGAGGTTCTACTACACATGTCTTCAACACTTCTATGGAAAATGCAGAGATTGCGCCAAATTGCACCGGGATACGACATGGTTTGAGGACTTATGCATCTGGAAAGAGAGCCTACCCAAAGCTATATTGATGTTATACCAACACCTCCTGGGGGGTGGCCTTAACAGCAAGAAGACGTTCAATAGGCATTGGGAGGATTTGACCAACACGTCCTTCTCCGATGCTCAGTGGGAAAAAATACAAATCCTCCATCACAAGAGCTCCACAAGTTCCCAGTACCAGGAGGTGAACTACAAACTAATATCCTTCTGGTACAGAACACCCACTCTTTTACACAGGATTTTCCCAGCGGTTTCGCCGACGTGCTGGCGATGCCAAGAAACAGAAGGAACGGTGAAGCACCTGTGGAGGGACTGTGCGGGTATCAGATCATTCTGGGAGGAGGTCAGAAGTCCGATCAGAGACATCTTGGGGAGGACGTCCCATTGGACATTGCCAACATGTTACTACACTCTACACCTCTCACACTCGGCACCTATAAGAAATAGATGCTTAGACACCTACTGAATGCGGCAAAATCCTTGATCCCCACACACTGGAAACAGCCCACGACTCCCTTGTAACAATGAATGGAGAGGGTGGAATAGATTAAGGCAGCAGAATTGGTGCATTAATCGGCAGCAGTGACAAACACGCTTTGCGATGGCAGCCATGGATCCTTTACCTGGCTGATTGGTAAATTGACATGGGGGGGGGGGGCGCGGGAAGTGCCCTAGTGTCTTCACCCTTTCATTACTCTATCTATTTATTTACTGAACCTACCATTCTCTCATATCTTGTTTTCTCTATTCTCTCTATTCCTTTACACCTTATTACCATTAATTCGGACATCGACTGACCCGCTCAGCTGCATTTTACGGCCCACTGCAAGTTAGATATGGGATGGTATGTCTGGGGGAAGGGTGGTACAGGATAGGCACTGACGTTCGATGCCCTTTGGGATACGGAAGTAGAGAACCGTTTGGTAAATAGGAAGTTGCCCGAACAGGCAGATACGGACTGAAACTGCCCCATCGGCACACTTAGCCCAGGGACAGAGTAGAGAACAGATGCACACTCCTAATTAGACGACTCACCATCCTCAAGCCCACTGGTACCAGAACTATCAGTAATACGATAGATCCCATAAGCTACCTAGACTGACTGGTCAACCCATTTCAGATGCATTTTCAACACTGCATATTGCGCATGCACCTTTACAATGCACTGGGCAGTGGGGTATCCACACTACTATAACGAAGATCTATCCCGGGGATACCAGAGCATGTCCCTAATTACTAGTTCCTGTCCCTGCACCTTAATTGCTGGCTGGAAAATAAAGTCGATGCTCTGTATTGTCATCCAAAAATGCATTAATCTAATGAAACATTCCTATTGCTAGAGGTTTTTCTGTTAGAATGCTATTTAATGTATAACCAATTTTGTAACAGCGGGAAACTGCGAGTTCACCAGCGTCACTACACTTTGTACCTTCTTATGTGTACGAAAAATAAAACTCTTTATTTCCTTAAAAAACTGCATCCTGCGCTCAAACTCTACTGTTGGACGGCAGCAACGACCATAGTACACATCAGCCCCAATACGTACAGTAAAAAAACAAAGAAAAAAGTTACCTGCATTCTCTCCTAATTCCCTATGCATATTTAAACAAATGGAGGATATTTAGTTACTCCAATAGCCATTGGAGGGAATGCCCGCCTGCCATGTCAAGGAAAATCTCTCAGGTGGGTCCTACACTAGCCATTCACCTGCATCCACTACACAAACACACACACTGCATCCACACCACAAATGCATACACTGCATCTACTACACAGTACACAAACACAGACACTGCTACCACTACACACACTGCATCCACTGCACAAACACACATACTGCATCCACACCACAAATACACATACTGCATCCATTACACAAACACACACTGCATCCACTACACAAACACAGACAACGCTACCACTACACACACTGCACCCACAACACAAATACACAAACTGCATCCACCACACAAACACACACACACTGCATCCACAACACAAATGCACACACTGCATCTACTACACAAACACACAGTGCATTCACTACACAAACACAGACACTGCATCCACTACACACACTGCATCTAGTACACAAGCACAGACACTGCATCCACTACACAAACACAGACACTGCATCCATTACATACTCTGCATACAATACACAAGCTCAGACACTGCATTCACTACACACTGCATAAATTAATGGATGCAAGTGTGTTTTGGTGAGTGTTTTTTTTTTTGGGGGGGGGTAGCATTTCATCTATGGACCCAGTCAGCACAATGCTTTTGGCCGGCCTTTTTCATAAGACATGCAGCCACTAGCGTATCTTCCTTGGATTTGGTGCTCACATGCAGCACGTGGAATACCAGATTGTTGTGCATGCACCATTTCCGTCAATACTTCTACTGAGATCACCAGTCTTGAATATGTCATGGTTGGTGGATAATGTTGCATAGAGGAGAATGCATGGCACTACTTTACAGGTACATTTAATGTTGTGAGGTTAAATAATAAAATTGATTTAAAATGATTATTGATTATTAAAATGATTACTGCCCATGCAGCCCTAGCCACACCTCCCCATGCTGTGACTCACACAGCCTGCATGTAAAAAATTATTTCATTTTCAATCAGAAGTCAACTAACTTCATAAATTTTTATCTCCTGCTCTTTATTTACACATAGGAGGCTCCTTCAAATTCTAGCAAACAGTGCAGGAAATAAAAAATTCTAAATTAAACAGACTCTGCAAAAAAAGGAAGTATAAACATTGTAACGTGGCACCCTGACTGGGTACCTCCATTGAAGGATGCTCCTAGCGCTTCCAGAGGGTTTCCAGCACTCCAGCAGACACCATAACCACCGTAGACTCCTTCAGAGAGCAAAAACGGGAACAAGCTCTTACAAGAGCTTAGCAGTGAATATAGCAAGAGAGTATGCAGAGCATAGCAATCCCTTGTAGCAGGTTCCCCCAATAAAAGACAACACTCTAAATTGAGGGTGAAGTACTGGCACATACAGCCTCTTTCATTCACAATCCACAAACATAGTACTGCCCACAGGGTTTTGAAATACAACCAATCAATCCGTACAATACACACAGACACTCCCACACAAAATCCTCTCCTCTGCCAGTGATATGATTACTGAACACAATGAGTAATATAATTAGCACAGGCAGAAAAATACAGTTTTTACAAAATATTAATAACTTCCAAAATATACATGCCATTCACATAAAACATACATTTTCAGAATCCGCATGCTTGAAATATACACATACTCAAAAATCAGGGCAATCGGTTCAGGGGTTAAAAAGTTAAGGGAAAGTCCTATTTGACAAAATGAAGCATGGTTTTTCTGCCCAAAACCAGTTCCACAGAGTCTTCTATCCTTGAGATAATTGGGGAGTAATCCAATTATCTCCAAGGACAGAGGCAAAACTCCATTAGCCACATGGTAGCAAAATAAAATACATAAAAATATACAACTGTGCAGTGATTGCATAAAACTGGTACATTCAACATATCCCCAGATAGCTTAGAACTGAGCACAAATTATTACTGAATGGCGCTCAGATCACATACATACAGTTCAATTGCCATGGAGCCAAAGTCTTTCACATAGTCTTTCGTTATACGAATGGGCTCCATGGCATAGCTATCTGGGGTAACACTGCTCACATAGGGGAAGTACCGAATGACCCGGCTTTCGGGTCTTTGCAGGGGAAAATCCAGCATTTCAACATGGGGCCATAGTCACAGTGCAGGAGGCTGGCAATCAGTCTTCTCCAATGCCCAGTGGCGAGGCTGGTTCTGCCACAAACATTAGATCTCACATTACAGAAAGTATATAGATTGGCTGTGCATATTGCATGTAGCAAGGTGCAACTAGGGCT